GGATGCTAGGACTTAGTGAGTTTTTGGACCACTGCTCTCTTTTTGGGCCGTAGTATCTTGATTTATTTTGCGAGGGAAGCTCCGTACTTTTGATGGATGCCTGCCATTCCTAATATATTAGAGCGCCCTCAGTTTCGTATGATACTGTGCAATATCTCTGGTGTGAGATAGTTGCTTCAAGCGCCGCGCCGTGGCACGCAGCCAGCGCGAAACGCGCATTGGCGCCTACAAACCTAACAGGGATACTTCACGCGTTGCGCAATGCGTGAAGTATCCCTGTTAGGTTTGTAGGCGCCAGTGCGTCGCCGCTCCGCTTTGTGTTAGGCTCGAATATTTAATCCGGCGGAGTTAGCGTTATTCAACTCATGAAGTTGAAATGTTTGCACACCCTGTGTGGATTATTCTCGTTTTAATTGATGGAAAAAATATTTATTAAAGGAAAATATAACGTGTGTTTTGTAAATATTAAGGTGGTTCCATATCAAACTTATTGATTTCCAAAGGACACGAATTTCCACACAATTTCTTATAGCCTTTTATAATCGATGGCGAAAAAGCAACAGCCAGGCGATAATGTGTAAAGCCCGGCTTTAGGAACTATAACCCGGCTGCATATTTTTTATTGCTTCGTATGATTTTCTTCGCATTCTACAGCCAGCTATATGATTTTTTGAAGCCTTCTTTAGCCGACTATAAGAATTTCTATGGTATTTTGAAACGAAGCTCTTATCGCCAATTTTTACCAGGGAGATCAATATTAATTTGCCAATATATTCAAAACCATGTGAAATACCATTTATCTCTTTTAATGTCTCGCAGCTCAGACGATACTTACGAATAAAGGAATTTTGATTCCTGCGGAGGGCCCTCCATCAATTTGGAGAATTTAAGGGCTACACGTTGAAATTTTAACCGAATATTCAACTTACGAATAAAGCAAATTAGCGAGAGTTCTGAGACACAATTTTCTTATGTTTGAATTACGAAAAAGCGTGTTTGTAATTCAAAGCAGTATCGCTCTGCACTGAAAAAAAAACACATTGGATCTAAATTCCAGACTCTTGAAAACATCGATAAGAAAAAATACTCTTGATTCAATCAGATTTAAGCTTAAATCAATAACCAAGCCTCTTAATTTGAGCGGATTTCCTCTTGATTTAAGCTTGAATCTGATTGAATCAAGAGTCCTTTTTCTTGTCAAAGTTTTCAAGAGTCTGGACTCTAGATCCAATGTGTTTTTTTTTTCCAGTGTGTAATTAAGGGACTTGGACGGCAAGGCACATTAATGCAGCTTTTTTTTTTTTTTTTTTTTTTTTTTTTTTTAAAAAAAATTGAGTCATTAATGATTTCAATTAAAACAAGTCTCAATGCATATACTGTGAATAACTCGCTCCCAAATTCACATTTTTAACAATGAAAAAGTAAGTTTGAACTTTCTTTCTATCATAATGATTCATGTATAATTTCGAAATTTCTAACACATATTAGCAAACTACTCTTGTGCGCCTTGACCTCCAAGCCCCTTAATTACTATTTTCTATTTTGCCCTTAAAAAAAGGATTTGTGACAAAAAATCTTCCTTGTCGCATCCAAATACGAATTTGGAGCTTATGCACACAATATGCGATGCAAGGGAATCATCATAATTGGTGTTGTCGAGTAAGAGTTTGAGTGACTGGGTGCATTACGTATTTCCGCCACCATTTGCAATCAAGAAATTACTGTTTGCAAACTTCCACCCATTATCACCATGCAAAGTGGTAAAGGTGGGGTCGCCAAACAAAAAACATCGATTAGCCGGTACGCTAATTCTCGACCTGTTTTGAGCCTTAGATGAGAGGTAAATGAATCGAGTACAACGCGCCCTGACCAGATGTGCTTCATAAAACCATGAAGAGTTAGAGGTGGTAAAATAGACATGCGGGGTATGAGGATATCGCAGTTCGCCTTCAATATTCAAAATAGGCAACTTGGGCATCTTCGATGATTTGGACCCGTTTCAGCGGGAAGGAATAATATTACAACACGAAGGGGCCCTGGCCCCCTGGCCGCTACGCGGCCCAACTCTAGGGGCGCTGTGCACCCCCAAAGTGCCGCTTCGAGGCCAGCGACTTTGTCGAAATCGCACACTGGCGGTTAATGAGCAAACAATTTAATTGATTAATAAAACGATGTTTCTCTGAAAAATTTTCCCCCCAAACAATATTCTTAATTACTTTTTCCTAACTCTGAATTGGACGTATTTATGCCAAAGGGAACTAGATGCAAGTGGAGAGAAGGAGTGTGCTCATGGTGAGCTGGATAAGAAACAATGTGCGGTCAGTGGATATATATAGTTCCTTTTGAGAAAATGGAAAAGCGGGATTTTCAATCTTAATATCTAATTTGAAAAATAGAATGAAATTGTGAATCAACCACTGTACTAATTGCGAGGGGCGTTGGTTCATTTGAAAGGTGTTGTTCTCAATGCTTCGGGAAAACTATAAATTATTTTCTGGGGTTCGTCCCCGATTTTTAAATCCCTAAAAACTCATAAATTGGATGAGGGNTTTTTTTTTTTTTTTTTTTTTTTTTTTTTTTTTTTTTTTTTTTTTTTTTTTTTTTTACGGTTTTTCATGATTGGTTCCATCTTTTTCCTATTGCCAATTTTTCCTCATTAAGTCAATAACCTCCAAGTTTTTTTTTCTCTTTCACGTTGTTTCTTTTCAATGTGTATAAATATGTTTATTAGTAATTTCCATTTTCATTTCATCCTTTTTCTTCTGATTTATTTTTTTTAATTTAAAAATTGAACTTTTCAGTTATGATTTTGTTAAAATAATAATAATTTTTACTAATTATAATTATAAATTCAACAGTTGTTATGAGTGAAATTTTCAATGACCGAGGCGGTCGTCCTCCAAAACGTGGTCGCGTTTTCCAGAATTCTTTGCATGTTCGTTTAGTGAAGCAAGAACTTAACTCTGTTATTAGTATAGAAAATCAAAGTTTCATTTCTTCATTTCGGAAGTATAAAATTGATGATCAGAACTTTGATGAAAATTTTGTTACCAAATTTTCAGTCGGTTCAATGAATATAATTTGTCATCATTGTGATGCTCGCCATTTTCAGGGTGAAATGTCCAATGGTCACTTTAATAACTGCTGCCAAAATGGCTTAATTTCTTTACCGAGTATTCGGACAAATACCGATTTGAAATCATTGTTTTTATATTCTCTAAATTTCATAAAGCATATCAGAAATTATAATAGTGCTGTTGCTTTTGCCTCTTTCTCTGCAAATCGAATTGATATTCCGGGTGATGGACCTTATTGCTTTAAAGTTCAAGGATCCATATATAGGTAAGTTTATTACCGGAACCAGAAAGCAGACTGAACATGGAAAAAACGAAAAAGAAAAAGCGGAAAAATTAGATGAAGTTAAAACAGGAGCAGAAAAAGAAGAAGAACCAGAAGGAACAGCTACTGAAGAAGAAAAAGAAGAAGCAAAAAAAGAAAAGATAAAAGGAGGAAAGAAGAAGAGCAAAGTTGTAGGAAATATAGGAAGAAAAGCAGGACAGAAATGGCAAAATAAGAATCAACAATTTAATCGAAAAAAAAGCAAAGTATTTAAAAAATAAAAAAAGATCTTCTTTAAAATTAGTTTGAAAACAAATGTAAAACCTAAAAAATAATTTTGTATGAAGATTAAAACAAAATTTTAGTTTAAAGTTTACTAAATAAAATTACAATTTTTGAAAACATTTGTTATATTTATTCTCTCAAAAAAATAATTAGACCCGATTCAAAGACAAAACAGAAAATTAAATGAAAATAAATAAATAAAAAAAAAAAACATGTGAAAGTGAAAAGTGCACAGGAAAAATAAGGGGCTGCGAAGCAGCCCCATAAGCCCCTAGTTAAATTTAAAGGAACTGAGCGCTAACTCGTGAGCCGTGGACATGTGACAAGCTCGTTGTGGACATGGCACATGAGTTAAAGCGCCCCGACGAGCGCGTCGAGCCCGGTCGTCGTCGCTGACGTCACTGGCGCTTTAAAATTCCCATTCATTCGTATGACCCTCAACTAACGAGCACACGCCATTTTTCCGCTTGCACATAGTTCCATTTGGACGTATTTCTATCAAACAGAACTATGTGCAGGCGGGAAAGATTGGGTCTGCTCGTTAGTGCTCGGGCCTTAAGAATGAATGGGAAATATAAAGCTACAGTGACGAAGCCGTCGTTGCGGCTCCTCGTAGTGGTCATTAACTCATGAGCCCTGTCCACAACGCTCTAGACTCATGCCCATGGCTCACACACTTTGCACATAGTTCTATTTGACAGGATGTAAAATCCCGCTTTTCCAATTATTCAGCAAACGGAATTGTCAGCCAACTGAATGCGGCACCCATGAGCCATGGACATGCGTCTAGAGCGATGTGGCCAGGGCTCATAAGTTAATGTCCAATTACGAGGAGCCGCGATGAGGCGACGGCTTCGTCACTGGCGCTTTATATTTCCTATTCATTCTTAAGGCCCGAGCACTAACGAGCAGACCCAATCTTTCCCACCTGAACATAGTTTTGTTTGAAAGAAATACGTCCATTCAGCATAAATAAGTCCAATTTTGATCCCTTTTTTGGAACTCGACCTTTGTACTGTCTTACTCTTCTTTCTCACCCCGCCCATCGAGCGTCTCAAAAATGATTTTGGTGGAATAGAGGAGATCAAAAATTGGTCGAATCAAACATCGACGCCAGACAAAACCGCATACTTGCGTCGTAATACCGCTAACCTTACGCGCTTCTTGGTCTGCGCGCGAATTCAGTCCGGCGGTCCCTTCACCGCTTAATCGTCCTCCTTCAGACTTCGTCTCTCATGGCGGTGGCCGCGGCGGCGGAGCGGGGGGCGGGGGAGGGGGGCGATGGAGCGGGGTCCTGAATTGGACTCCGCGGATGTCCCGCTCGTCCGAAAGCTCGGGCTAGCCTGGATTAAGCTCCTGATTCACGGGACGACTCGACGAGACGCGCCGCGACGCGGGATCGAAAGGCGACCTTTGTCGGGCCGGAGCCAGTGGCAGTAGCTCGCCAGTCAGTCAGTCAGTTTCGCCGTTCGCGTCCCGAGTAGTGATCAGTGTGCCGCTGTGTCGCGCCCGGCCGGTGAACTTGAGCGCACGCGCCCCCCAACGTACACAAACGGCTTCCACGGTAGATCCGCGAGCGTTGCACTGTCGGGTTCCCAGGTGAAGTGAGTGGTCCGTGTGTGCATTGAAACTGTAATCATACTGTATTTTCTTCGGAGAATATACTAAAAATGGGGCTAAAATCAACATGATCGATAAAATACTCGAAATTGATGGTTTAGATGTAAAAACTGATTGTTTTGGTCTTAATTCAGGAATTACATACGTGCCGTGGATGTAATAAATGGGATTATTTCAGGAATAACGTACGTGCCATGGATTGGAAATACAATACATGGCATTAGAAATCAGAATGATCGATAAAATATTCGATATTGATGGTGAAGCTGTAAAAACTGATAGTTTTGGGCCTAATTCAGGAATAACATACGTGCCGTGGATTGGAATGTAATAAATGGGATTATTTCAGGAATTACGTACGTGCTATGGATTGGAAATACAATACATGGCATTAGAAATCAGAATGATCGATAAAATATTCGATATTGATGGTGAAGCTGTAAAAACTGATAGTTTTGGGCTTAATTCAGGAATAACAAACGTGCCGTGGATTGGAATGTAATAAATGGGATTATTTCAGGAATAACGTACGTGTCATGGATTGGAAATACAACATATGGCATTAGAAATCAGAATGATCGATATAATACTCGATATTGATGGTTTAGCTGTAAAAACTGATAGTTTTGGGCTTAATTTAGGAATTACATACGTGCCGTGGATTGGAAAGATAGTACATGGGGTTAGCGATCAAAATGATCGATAAAATACTCAAAATTGAGGGTATAGCTGTAACAACCAACTTTTTGGGGCTTATTTCAGGAATGACATAAATGACATTGAAAAAGTAATAAGTAGGATTTGATATAATAATGTTCAATAAAATACTGAAATTAACAGTTGTGCTGTTTAAACCGATTGTTTTGAACTATTTTTGAGAATCACATACGTGCCACCGATTCCCTCGCATTTATAATTGCGTTTTGTTCCAATCAGCTAACTTTGAGCTAAATCAAAAGCTGCATTTTGAGTGTGTGAGATATTTTTTTTATGAATGAAGATGCATTTTCGTAGGAAGATCATTTGCAGACATAAAATTTATTGATCATAAGTTTACAAAAAGACAGTCCTATTTCATTGAATTCTCGTTGTATTTCGCTATTATTTACTCAAATTAGAAGCAGAATGTTTTAGTGCGTGTGAGGTTCTACCTGTAAATGAAGAGGAGTCATGAGGAAATATCATCTTATCCACTTCATCATTCTATCATTTTTAATAGCGGGGAGGAGGGAATGAAATAAATGAAATACTAAAAGTCGAAGTTGACCGGGTCCAGCAGAAAAAGCCGACTTTTTAGCTCATTAGAAATGACGTAAATGTACCCCTGATTTCCAATAATCAAATCGGCACTTTTACAAATTTATTAATATACATTACGTTTCACTAGTTACATTTAAGTGAAAAGTATTTTTGAATACACTCAATGCCCGAGTCGTAAAATTCCTAGCTAATGCCGCCAAGAATACAGTTAATGTCATAATCTTCCTTCATTAGCGTCTATATCGGCCGGCAAATCAACGGCATTATTAATGTGATGGGCAAAGTCAGTTCAACGTACTTTTTTTTTTTTTTTTTTTTTTTTTTTTTTTTTTTTTGAAAAGGTAGAGCAACCATTCTTCGAATCTTTCATGATTACTTGCGAGTCACATACTCATGTTAAATGAAACCCTCTAAACTATGTTTTAATCTCGCCGGCTCTATATTTGAGGCCCATTAACAGCATTGTATATCTCTGTTTAATCAAATTTTGAAAAGACTTTTTAATGGTGCAGGTAGATGTTAATCGAGGGGAAAATTTTAAATATAGCACCGTGACCATTTACCGCTAATCACCTCGGAGTTCAGTCATGTAACACGTTGTGAGTCGTAAAAATTTGGCCGTTATATTATGAAATAATGAAAATGTGCGGTTTTTAGTCGAAAATTTTAGAGAACCCCCAACCATAGTTCAATGTTTTTGAAATCACCTCTTAAACCCTATCGCAGAAGTGACGATAATTGTCTATCCTTCCTGCAAAATCCCTCTTTTCATCCTTACATTCCCAAAAGCGCAATTCATCGTTTTTTGAACATGACCATAGTCACAGGATCTCAACTTGTGACACTAATTTCTCAAAAATCCATGATTTCACGATCCTCAAGTTTCTATCTTCTTTGAACAAATCGCATAGTGATAAAAATGCTGTTCGTAGCCTTTTTTCCGTTTAAGTCAACTTCTTTGCGTCATTCTTCCATCCACTTCCGAATTTCGAATTGACTCATTTTATCCTCAGAGTTTGACAAAAAACGGTGCTTTTAAAAGTTCACCTTCTTTTAGTTCCCATTTTTTCTTGAAGAAAAAACATGTTTTTTGATCAAATTCTCTATGTTTCGAGCGAATTCGTCTGCATACAAGAGGTCTAGTTGGACTTCATTTTGCAATTAGAGACAACAATTTCTGGCTCAGATTAGGAACAACGTATATACCATTAGTATCCCTATGCACATAATTGATTTTGCGGATGAGCAGGAAATTGTAGTTTCAATCGCAAGATGTAGCTCAGTTCATACATTTGGGTCAAATATATATTCACTGATCATTTGGCTATTGAAATATTTCTAAATCTACAGTTTTTGTGAGATACTCATAAGCTGCCGCGTGAATTTTTAGGAATTGGCTGCAAATGCAGCTATCGTCGTCAATCTAGGGATTCGAGCATTGACGAAATTATTAGTTTTATCCTGATGAAATTTGTATCCAAATTTTCCCAAGGAAATGAAAAAGCAGCCTCTGAGGAATTTTTCATTTTTGGTGTGTAGGTAACGCAACAGATTTTGAAATTTTGGTTTTTCGAAGCCACACTCATGTTCATTATATTAAGACATCATTAGTTTTATCCCACTTGAATTTTTATACAAGTTTTTCCTAAAGAAATGAAAAGGCGGTCTCTGAGGAATTTTTCATTTGTGGTGTGTAGGTAACGAAACAGATTTGGAAATTTTGGCATTTCGAAGCCACATTCATGTTCATTATGTTAAGACATTATTAGTTTTATCCAGCTTGAATTTTTACACAAGTTTTTCCTAAAGAAATGAAAAGGCAGTCTCTCTGAGGAATTTTTAATTTGTGGTGTGTAGGTAATGCAACAGATTTGGAAATGTTGGCATTTCGAAGCCATACTCACGCTCATTGTAATAGGACATGATTAGTTTTATCCCAATTGAATTTTAATCAAAGTTCTTCCCAAGGAAATGATTCGGCGTCCTCTGAGGAATTTTTCATTCATGGTGTGTAGGTAACGCAGCAGATTTTGAAATTTTAGCATTTCAAAGCCACACTCACGTTTGCGATTTTTTTGCGCGAGTTAGTGAGTCAAAACTTGCTCGACCAGGTAAATCCAACGTGCCTCTAGTTCTGCAATCAAGAATGCGAATTTTTGCTGGCAGCTTGACGTTCGCACAATTGCAAAATATCAGATAAGAGGGCGAGAGTGCATTCGGAACGGACGTACGGACGTCCATTGACAAGCCTCGGTTCCTAATGGTCATTCAGGACTTCCGAGGTCAGTAATCACCGCTAGGCACAGGATTTCGCATAGCTAGTTGAGGATTCCAATGCAACTATGCCTTCAGGATGTTTTGACATAGAGATGCTTGATAGGCTGGTCAATGACTGGTTCACACTTCGTAGTTTAGAGTTCAAGCCGAACAGTTTAAGAGAAATTACACATGTGTTTAGATGAATACCAATGGGTTGACTTATGTGTTTGGTTTGGTTTCGTTAGCTAAGTTTGATTATTTGTACATTACTAGCAATTACTTTTTGTAAAAAGGAAATTGATTTTTTCTCCTGAAAATATGATGAGAAGAACGCATTTACAAAAATACGCAAGAAAATTACGTATTAAAACAGCACTGTTGATAAATACCGGATTTGTTTGTAATCTCAAAGTACTTTTTTCTTGAAATGTTTATCAAAATAGTAAAACTGCATTTTTAGCCCAATTTTTCAGAACATGTTCAAAATGTTAGTATCTTTCAAATTTCATGTCTAAAATTAATTTACCAAAACCCGATCAAATGACCAGAAAAATAGTAATATTTTCGAAATTTCTCGGTGGTCATTAATTATTAGAAAAATTAGCAATTTTTTTTTACTTTTTATGTTTGTAAAAAGGAGCAAAATTAAATTTTGCATTGTCACAATGGTAAAGTAATTTCACCCTTTGATCTCATGAAAATAAGAAGAAGGAAAACCTGATGCTATACATAAATCTCATCACTACATTTTCTATGAGTTCATTGCAATTTTATCAGCATAATGCGACAGCGCTTGTTGATTGCCTCTCATGCAGTAGTATAAAAAGAGCCAGCTCCTTAAAAATCGCAATTGAATTTGGGATCTTTTTTTATGGCAGTAAGAGGAATAACAATTAGTCTAAATACATTTTGTTTGGCTTTTATTGTAATTATCATCCATTATAAAACGATTTAAATTTGGTAGGGGACAAGAGAAGACAACATGAGAGAGATACGCATACAACCTTTTTGAATTGCAATAATTTATCCAAATATAATTAATAATTTTTCTCTTCTTTCTCCACCAAATATCTGATACCAAAATTAGAATGAAAATTAAAGACGAAGGAAAAAAATTTAACTTGGAAACTTGGGCCCGCATTCTTGATAGGTCTCACAAGTTTAGGTTTTGAACAGACCAGTCGTTTCGATGTAAAATTCAGAAAACGTTGAGTTTTCATCTAATTTTAATGCTCGAGAGAGTCGGCATTTCTCATATCTTCCAATAGGGAGTAAATTATCGTAGATCTGTAAATAAAATGTTTTGTTGATCTATGATTGTTTGATGTCTCTTGATCCATTTCCGATGTAAAAGCAGGTATTTTCTAGGCGTTCAGTATTGAATAATGGTTCTTTTTAGATGAATGATAGTATTGCGTCACTGACGATACATAGTGCTGCCACGGTGCTTATAAGTGCAATGCAAATTTACTTTCTCATAATTTTACTTCGAATAGATGCATCAAAATAGGAAGTATAAATAAACTCGACAGCTGTAAAAATCAAGTAACTTCCTTATCTGCCAAATTTTTCTTTTCGATGAAGTCACCAAGTGGATATGTTTTCTATATTCCTTCTACAGTTGAAATATACAACTTGAAATAAAAATTGAGAAATGAGGGGCACGGAGGACAAGGCGCATAAATGCAGGTGTTTTTTTATTTCAAAAAACATATGTTTAAATGTTCAAAATTACATGGAGCCTTACAGCAGCACAAAATATACTTTCAAACTAGTTTTAATTGAGTTCATCAATATGTAAATTTTTTTTCATACACTGCGTTTATGCGCCTTCTCCTCCAAGCCCCTCTAATAACGTTTCATCTGACTGGTTAGTATGACGTCTTTCGTAAGTCTATCAATGATGAATGGGATAGAGCGAGTCAAAATGTAAATCCCCCCCCCCCTAAAGCATTGATTGAAGTACGTCAATCTTTCCTAAGAGAGATATCAGATTTCATTTTTTCAGTTAAGCTTTGGCAGAATAATTTGATAGTGAATCGTCGGAATGAAACACATAATAAACTCATTATGAGACATGAAAACAAAAGATTTTAAAAAAATGATTTCAACAAAAAATTAAGATACTGTTTTAAGCACGCACAAAAACTGAATAAAGCCTGAAAAGTTTACTCTCCAAAAATGTCGGTATTGCGTCTTTCAATCGTTATCATTTTAAATTAGGAATCATTGATACGTTTTTTAGAATCGTCATACGGAACGAAATAAGATAAATAATTCTCAAAACATTCGTCGGATATATAGGACAAAAACAAAATCGCCATAAAAAATGGCAACGCTATACAGTTAGTACAGTATACAGTTAGTGTATTCTCTCTTAGCGGCACATTTTATCTTCTCTTTTTCGGAGAACCTACCGCAGGACGCGAACAGTCGATATTTTTAGATGTTTGATGAAGTGGTATATTGAGATGGTTGTTAGGGAAGTAAACACTGACGGAAATAAACGGTAAAATTCGCCTTCAGCACCTACCGTTCTTCATTGCGAACTTAATAAGTTCCCGTTCGGTATCAAGACCGCAATAATTCGGGGGAGAAAGTCAAGGCAACCAGGTTTCATACAGTTTTTGGTAAATTGATCGCCTCAAATTCGATGTCACCTAAAAAAGAGTTGTAGTTTGGAGTCCATGTAGAATTGATGTGTTTCGTGGTGTGATGTGTGCTCGTGTGGTCTACTTGTCGTTCTTGGAGCAGAAATATTTAATTTGAAGGGATTGTGTTAGGCTTGATGTTTAAAAGTTTATTCGTTTTTTTTTTTTTTTTTTTTAAATTCATATTTTACATCTTCCTCCTAAAGATCCTTTTATTATCCATCCTCATTCCTTCAAGTCATATAAACTTATTGCGACTTTAATCCGCGTCAGTAGTGTTAAAATCGTGTCGTGTGTTCACAGCTACTTCGGAAATTACTGAATGCTTTTTCGTCGTGGATTCATATAGTATACCTCAAGTGATGTGGCGTCCATTTTCGGAACTCTGTGTCGGTCGTAAAAATGCAGCTGTCAATCCAACAGCACCTCTTGCCAATGAACTTTAACTTTTTTGAGATCACACCCATGGTGAGACAAGCCACGAAAAGGAAGGATTCTAGTTCGGGCAGCGCAATCGTTCAATTTTTTATACAAAAAGCTCTGGAATCAGTGAGCTTTGTAGTGCGAGGTACCGTCCAAACTCAGTTGTTCCTCGTTTGGGCTCTGGATGAAGTATTTTAAGAAAATTCCATCATAGAAAGCTCCATCGCGCCCTAATTTATTTGATGTCGTCGAAGTCTTCGAAAACACAACACCAACTATGCACCATGCTATTCTACTCTGAGAAAGTAGAATATTGAAGTGATATGCTGAATATGATAGTGCGTGCGCAGATATTTTGAGCATACCTCCATTCCCTCTGAAACAGAAAACAAAGAGTGATAATAGTGTAGAACTTAGTCACGTGTTGACTTTCATCGTGATTTCACAATCTACAAGAGCCAACTTAAATGCAATTGCACACACGCATATGGATCTTGATTTGACTTAAAAGCTCAACATGCAGAAAGCTCAAGTCCGAAAGAACAAAGACACAGCATAAATCCAATCAAATATATCAGCAAGTCACCAAACTTTTGCCCGAGAACATATGTCTGATAAATTAATACTCGATTCTTGGTATTAAAAAGACACAAACCTTAAAATACTCATTACGTAATTTTTTATAGATGGCACGAGTTGATTACTCACCAAAACCTGTTTCTTTCGCCATATTGGTCTCTTCATAAAGTAAGGTGAGAAAAAAATCAAATATTTGAGCAAAGTCTGACGCAAAGTTTGACACAAAATCTGACGCCAAGTCTGACGAAAAGCTGACGCAAAATCCGACGCAAAGTCTGACGAAAAGTTGACGCAAAGTCTGACTCAAAGTCTGACGAAAAGTTGACACAAAGTCTGACTCAAAGTCTGACTCAAAGTCTGACGCAAAGTGGACGCAAAGTCTAACGCAAAGTCTAACGCAAAGTCCTCGAGCTGCCTTTTTTTACCCATTGGACACCAACAAAGGGCCTTTTTGACGTGATACCCAAAACCCAGAGACCGCCAAGATGCGTGGAAGCACAGCGGGCATCACAGACGGCCTAAAGAGCACCTCCAGGTCATACTTCCTTCTGCTAAGCTTCCTGGACATCCTGATGACAACCATCGTGATCTCGCCGCTGGTGATCAGCTACTGGCGCGGAACATGGTTCCTCATGGACATATACCTCTTCCCGGAGAGCCCGATGCGAACAGCCCTCGCTTCCATCGCCATCGGGTTCCTCCCCATCTTCGTGTTCACCCTCCTACAGGGTGCTTTCGCCGATTGGCTCCACCCGAGTAAACACCGGTTGCTCTGGTACGGCGCGTCGCGGCTCTACACGGCGGCATTCGGGGTCGCCTGTGTCAACTCGTGGCGCGGAGTATGGAAGACTCTTGATCTCTACACCGGACTTGAGACTTTTGAGGTGTCCGCCACCACGCTCTTCGGGGTTCTCTTTCTGCTGTGTATCAAGTGTCTGCGGAATATATCGGCTGTGCCGTTTGCGATCGTCACCGACCGCCCGGAAGGATATTTCGCCGTGCCAACTATGTTTAAGACTTCCGTGAGTTTCGATGATTTTTTATGTGATGTCGCATGCTGAATGACGCACGCTTTACAACAGGCCCATGCTGCAGTGGCGTGGCGTGAATAATCGATTATCGATACCTCGCCATTTGAAACTATGATAAAGAATCGATTACTAAGGTGTTCGCTGCGAACACCCTGATAATCGATCTTTTTTCATAGATTCAAATGGCACCACAATCGATATATCGCAATTCACGCCACGCCACTGCCATGCTGCCGTGCTAAGGAAAAACGCCGTATGAGCCCTCAAGCGTTGCCAAATTTTCCTAGACAAATTATTCATTATCAACACTGTTTGTGAATAATTTTCTTCCGATTTCTCAGGTAATCTTGTTCGTAATTTGATTTAAAAAGTCTGGAAATTTCAAGGAAAAATATTGATAATTTTCCTCGAAAATAAACATTTTGTCAGAGGAGATTTAGCAACTCCCGGATGTTCATACGGCGTTCTTCCTTACCGCGGCAGCATGGACCTGTCGTAAACTTCAGCTAGAGTAACAAGAAGAGCTGCTTCTGATGGAAAATGCTAAAAAAATTACGTTTAACGCACCGGGATTTTCTAAAATAGGTCTGAAATTCTCTTTTAACTTTACAATCTGCGTAAGAAATATGCGTTTTTCAAGCTTTCTGCTTCAGAAACGATCAAAGACATAAAGACGGAGTGCTCGTATCTAAAAGCACGGGGAAAAAGTGAAGCTAGGTTCGGCGCTGCGCGTTTGTGTGAGTGTGTAAATGAGCGCGGGAATCCATGGCGGCAAACGGAAATTTGATTTGAACTTGTCCTCTTGATTTTTCCTTATTTCTTCTTCGAAACGTTTTTTAAATGCTTAAAACGATTATATTAAGAAAGTTCGGTCTGCGTCCTAATATATTACACCTACTTTTGCTCGGTAACAGGCAGTAATCTCAGATAAAGTTAGTTTTTCTTCTGCTTATGGTGGTTCTGCAGGTTCAAACAGGCCGTTACAGTTCTAGATCTACGTTACTCCCAAATGAAATCAGTCGGTCGACGACGGACCGAAACTAACCTAAAGTTAATAAAATATGAGTGTGTATCTGAATTTGGACAAAAATCAACCTAAAATACTTTGTTTCCGCAATTTTATTTATTAGTTCCCGCCCTACATTTGAATTCAAACTTGTCCCGATTTCGCCGCCAATCCTCTAGCCAATAGTAGAGGTGATTGAAAAGAAGCTCTAGAAGCTTCATTTTTTGCTTTTAGTGCTCCGTCTTTATGTCTTTGGAAACGATACTACGGCACAGCAGGTGAGAATTTTTTAAGAGGAGTCGTTCCATTCAACTCTTACGCACTAGGATGCTACACAATAGTCAACCCGTCTGACGCTTCAGCGCGCAAATCTGGAGGAAGCACCATGGGGTCTTTATCAACGCGAGGAAAATGTAAATATTCATACGCCGATTGGTAAAATTCATCTTGTCACGTGTGATTTAGCGGGTTGACGTCAGCAATGTTGAATGTTGCGTAGCATACCCAGTGCGCAAGGGTTGGATGGAACGACCTCCCTTACAAAATTAAAATTGTTGAGCCATTTTCAATTAAAAACAACTCTTCTTTTAGGTCTAGCTGAAGTTTTTAACAGGCCCATTATTTTACTTTAACTGGGGCACCATATCATAGAATGATACCCAAACCAGAAAGCTAACTAGACGTATGCTGCCAAACGGAACTGTGTGCATCATAGCTCGAGCCCATGCTATGAAAATATTCTTGTGGGCCACTCACAAGAGCTCATGTCTGAATGCACATATTTTCGTTTGGCCGAAATACGTCCAACTGCAGGTTTCTCCAGTAAGATCGTTACATTTCGGAGACAAATTCGGGACCACTCTCGCGCGGAATTTGAACCTGCGGTTCGAGTGAGGACTGCTGGTAAAGGCAGATGGCACCATAGAACCGTCTTGGCGGGAAAATAAGTCAAAAAGGACGGCGAGGATTTCAACAATTCGCTGGAATGAAAAACACATTGGATCTAGAGGCCAGACTCTTGAAAACATTAATGAGAAAAAGGACTCTTGATTCAATCAGATTTAAGCTTAAATCAAAAGGAAATCCGCTCAAATTAAGAGGCTTGGTTCTTGATTTAAGCTTAAATCTGATTGGATCAAGAGTATTTTTTCTATTAATTCTACTCGTGGACTTAATGTTACTGTTGAGTTAACAATGGTTTGATCTCGAAAACAACTTCGCACTGTTTCTGACACCAAAATAATCATTATGACAAAATGTAGCATCGTTGTAACAACTAGAGAACTACAAGGGAAGGGGAACAGAAATCTACTATAAGCATTGTAAGAACAATTGTTCTGTTTTCCCTGTGTCCTTCCCATTTTTTCTCTTTCGATGTAAACTTAGAAAATTATCTACACTGCTTTTTCAAAAAAGGTATGTGATATTCCACGGGGAATGGGACTTTTTCTCGCGGAGAAGAAATTTTCAATGGTGCAGTTTTTGTCGCATTCTGGCAGGGTTTTCTCTCTGAAGTCCATATAAATAAGATTCGAGCGGTTTATTTCATTTTTGCGTGTAATAAAATGCAAACATTTGGACTAAAATTTAGTAATTTTGTATCATGAACATGTCAGACAATTAACGTGAATGACAAATCAGAAACTGATTTATACATTTTGAGCTTGGGAGGTGATTACCAAGAGATACAACCAAATAAATACACTCTTCCCTGGTAAAATCGCACCAAAATCACGCTGGGCACGTCAGAAAGGTATGAAATCCATTCCTTAGCATATGGAATCTCCCTGTTAAAAATTGACAGTAGAATCTGTGTTCCAAAATACCATAGACCTACACCGGCTGTAACATTTTCAATAGCTTCTATAGCCGGCAACACAATTTCTTATAGCCTTTTATAGCCGATGGCGATTAAGCAACAGCCTGGCGATAAAGTGTATGCTAAACGTTACTAATTACGGATGCTAGTACTTAGTGAGTTTTTGGAGCACCGCTCTCTTTTTGGGCCGTAGTATCTCGATTTATTATGCGAGGAAAGCAACAGCCAACAGCCAGGTGATAAAGTGTAAAGCTCGGCGATAGGAACTAAAGCCCGGCTGTATAAATTTTTATAGCTTCGTGTGGCCCGGCCGTATAATTTTCTCCACTTTCTACAGCCAACTATATGATTTTCTATCGCCCTCTTCAGTCGGCTATAAGAACTCCTATGGTATTTTGAAACGCAGCTCCTATCGCCGATTTTAACTAAGGCTGCGTAGTTTGTAACACGTTTAATCAAGTTTCCCGCGTCTGCAGGCAGTTTTTTTAGTCACCGCTGACCGCAGGTTTGCACAGTAGAAAAACTCATCTGAGTAAACAAGCGATATTACGAATTTATTCTATTGTGTGATTTCAGTCGTTTTCAAGCGTCTGTTTCCTTTTCCTCTCATCATTTTGCAAAAACAAAAGCTTTGAATGAATTGACATCTTACGCAAAGAGAGTTTGTAGCAATTCGCGAGATTGTTGGTTTATTTAGCTTAGGTCTCTCTCCGGGCAAACCTGATTGCCGGCCATTACGAAAAACTGCCCGTTTACGCGGTAAATTTGAAAAATCGTATCACAAGCCGCGCTGCAGCTTGCGCTAAGGAGTGAATTTCAGACTTTTTTGACGTTTCCAACGTAATTTTCGAGCGAGCTTTCCCGTATTAACTGTATTTCGTTAGTTGCATATCTTGCATGCAACAGACTCATTCGGGACCTGGAAAATGCTTAAAAGTGGCGCCAGCTCTCCCATTCATTTCACGACTCTGTGTACTCTATGACGTAACCTGACGCGAATAACATCCTTGTGCGTGAAGGAACATAATTCCATTTTCTAAATTAGACTGTGATATTGTGATCGGGAATCGAAACATCATTACAAAAAAGCAGGCACTTGATCGCACGTGCCTAATATGGTGCATTCTCGATGTTTAAGCTCATGGCAACGATATTTTGGGTTGGAAGTTGAACAATCACACCGCCAGGCTACTGCTGATTGCGCACGGCGCATTCCAATTGACAGCGAGCGATTTTTGCGAAATCAAGGGAAGAATTGCTTAACTACGCTGCAAACACTATTTCGATGAGCCTGCTCTCGTATGAATGTCAATCCTCGTATATCGGTTAACAATACGTTTTGATGTACAAAGAATAGAGGATCAGTCGTTCTACACGGAAAAAATGGACTACTGATTTAACAATTTAATTGTTGAAACATTTGCCCGACATGTTTCATGCGTATATTTTACAGTAGTGAGAAGCCACTTTAACCACAGAGGTGGTTATTTTAGCATTTTTTTTTTAAATTGTAAAAATCTCCATCGAAACATGTCGAACACTTGTTTTAACTACAAAATTGTTAAATCAGCAATTCATTTTTCCGTGTATGTAAGGGATTGTCCTTCATAGATTCTAGGCATGAATATATTTAATAAATTTCATCATCGCTTTTCCGCAAGTAGTGCAGGAAAATTCAAAAACAAATAAGTCTAATTTGTCGTTATCCGCAAGAGGGGACGTATTCGTATCTTGTCTGCGATCGGTGACGATTCCAGCAAATTGGCAACTCTATCAATACTCCATTCAAATTCATTGAATTTGTCGATTCTAGGTGACACAGGCTGCTTCACCTAGAATCGATTGTTTAACATCCATTGAAATGGAGAAAAAGCAGTTTCGCAAACTTTCAAGTATTGTCTATGCGTGCGCTTCAGTATTCATTCGAACATGTTTACTTTTTTCACGGGAGAATCGTTGCACGAATTTTTCTCAAAATTCTCTGAAAACTTGGAGAAAGCATACTCAAGAGATCTTCCGAAAATCTGTATTTTATCAAAGGAAATGACAATGTCTAAAGATTCATGCGGTGACCAGTAGAAAGAGTTAGTGGAAAAAATCAGAAAATTTTTCTGGGAGGGGGGTGGAAAAAATCAGAAAATTTTTCTGTGAGGGGGGTGTCTTCCACATGGCGGTATCAAAAATGAGTTCACTCATAACCCAATCCGTTGAATTTTTGAATATTCGTTCATATGAAAAAATAACGTTTAGAATGATCACATTGATTATTTCATAAGATTGTTCCAAAAAGCACTACTTTAAAGATGTAAGGTAATAATACAAATGTAAAAACATGCACCTTTAGTAAAATATGCCATGTCCGACCTTTTCCAAAAGCTCGGACCACTGATTGGTGTTCATTCTTAGTGAGGCAGCACTCAAAAAATTCAACCCTCTGTTGGCTGAAATTTTTTTGAAAAATTGTCAACATTTTTCTTCAAATTTTGCAGATGATTTTGACCGTAATTTGATCTAAAATATCTGAAAATTTCGAGGAAAAATAAGCACACCTTTCCTTTAAAATACGTGTTTTATCCGGAGAAATTTGTCAACTTTCGAATGTTCATACGGCGTTCTTCTTTGGCAGGGCAGTGCAGATCTCGCACACGGAACGGGAAGTCTGCTACAAAATCAGTCTGTGGGAACTTATCTTTCCATGTGCGGGTGAACCTCTCTCTGTGCTCATGACAAGGTTAGAAGAGTTCCCACAGGTACACTTTTCCTGCCACGGTAGATTGTTGCCACTCTAAAGCACATGCGCGTGCACTCACTGCATGATGCAAGTGTCAAAATGACTTTAATCGGCACAATTAACAATGTTGTCTATTTTCTCTCTGTCCGCAGCCGAAGGACAACAACATAGTGCTGTACTCTCTCGACTGCTTCTTCAGCGTCTTCATCATCGGATCTTTGCTCGTCTTCGTCTGGAGGGGCGCATGGACGCTTATCGACATCTTCCTCTACCCTGGGGATCCTGTCTTCAGCGCCTGGTACTCATTAGTAAGTTATGTTTGTTGTATTTAAAACAAACGTGTTTGAGCCGGACTAACGGGCCGTCCATAAATTACGTCACGATAGTGTAGTTTTCTCAAAATTGATAGGAGAAATTTTGGTGAGGCGAGTTCTACCACTCAACGTTGCTCGTCTGGGTGACAAAATTGGACTGCATTTTGCAATTTGGAACTATTAATTCTGGCTCTTCAGGAAAAACACGTATGTGCATAGGGAAATTAATAGGATGTACGTTGTTTTTAAACCGGGCTAGAATTTATAGTTCCAAATCGCAAAATGTAGTTCAATTTATGGACGGCTCCCAACGGTGTAACGAAGGAAAAAAAACCACGGGTCAAACTGAGACTCTCCGCTGGCATAGACGGATAAGAGAAAGAGCAAGTGTCCGTTCGGACTTTTTTGTTCCTCACAATTTAAAATGTTCAAAAAATAATTCCTCGTGGAATGAGAAGTACAATTTGTCACGCAGGAACTTTTTTTGAGAACTTTTGATTCTTGACCAATTTTAAGGCCAAAAAGCCTTCATGGACACCTGACCTTCTGGCTTTCTATAGCCTTCATCACTATAAAGGCGAGGCGCAAATGATCGATTATGAATATTTTCCCATTTGAAGTTGTGGCAAAGAATCGATTATTAAGGTGTCAGTTTCGAACACCCTTTTCATCGATCCTTTTTCATTGATATAAATGTCAGATCAATCGATATATCGCAAAGCATGCCACGCCACTGCTCATCACTCGAAACTTAAAAATAAGGCCTTTTTAAGAAACTTGAACAGTTGTGGTAAAGAATCGATTATTAAGGTGTTCGTCGCAAACACCCTGTTAATCGAGCCTTTTCCATTGATATAAATGTCAGATTAATCGATCTATCGCAAGAAATGCTACGCCACTGCTCATCACTTGAAACTTAAAAATGAAGCCACCACCAGGAAACGGGTCTTGTAATTACATTAAAATCCCACAGGAGAATCAAGCACATTTTAATATGAAAATTACTCTCACAAAGATTTTTTTTATCCACCTCACCAAGAAAAGCAATTTAATCCCAGAAATATTTCCTCTGAATTCTTTTAATGTAGGCTCCGATAATCTTACGTTTGTAAAAATAAAATACTCTCAAACGTTCCTTCAGAAAATTATTGACAGGAACATGTATCAAGAACATATACAGCCACCAGTACCCATGCACTTTCTCAATTCGGACTAAAATGGAAATTTCTCGCCAAATCTTGTGCACTCACTGCAAAACTCTTCATACAACTATTTCGACTCTCTTGTCTCTCCCATTGCATAAGCTTTAAATTGAAGGAGAACTCAGTTCCTCGTCATGGTAAATAAATATAGTAGTGAAATTGAGAACGCCATGGGTAATTGTACATATCATATTTTCATATGACGATGGGTTTGATTAGACTTTAAACAGTCAATAACTTAATGAGTAAATTGAAGCAAAGCAACCACTAAAACGCAATTTCTCCTCAATTTTTGCAGTTCTTTCCTCATAGGTTGAACTTAAATTATCATTTCCACACTTGATCCAAAGAGTTGAATGTAATACTCCTTTTTCAGCCAACATACCTACCCTCTTCCATTCGCGAATAAAAAAAATTAAAATAATAAAGCAGATTTCGTTAAGTATTCTCGGAAAGAGGCTTTTTTAGGTCCACTATTACACCCTAAAAATATCCCTGCCTTGAAAGAGGAAAATTGTACTGAAACCGGTTGAATTCTTTTCGAAGGGATTGTCACATCGAACGCAAATCTCCTCAGTTACTACTCATTCTGTAGATACGTCAGTTTTTGACAGGCAAAATCGTCGCAGAGTTTGAGCGATTTTTTATGGCAAACTGGAACTTCGCAATTCCACTTACAATTGAACGTATTTTTGCTAAAAAGAACTATGTCCCACGCAAAACCGATGCACATAGTTCCTTTTAGCGTAAAAACGTCCAATTTAATGAGCTCATTGGTTAATTCAATACAATCGCTTGGAGACTCATCATATGCTTTATGACCATTCCTTCTTGGAGCCGAAGCAGCTCAAAAAATGGAAGCAAAGTTTAACGCTCTTAAATTACTCCATCACCACTTAATGGCGGATAATGACGCAGAGAGCAAATAGCAACATCGCAAGTAACCTAACCGATAATTGAATCCTCCGTGTCTTTTTGAGTCAAAAAGAATCTGATTCATGTAAATAGTCAAATCCCTACCTTCCGGTCAAAGTATCACAAGTACCATGTAACGTTTCAACATTTCCGCTGCCATTTTATTTTTTTACAAAGAAATTGTTGGGTGAATCTGTTTGAAAATTTCACTGGATTTTATCGGCAGCGCAAAGAAAATTCAGTTGAATTTTCAAACAGCCTCGTTAAACAATTTTTTCTGTAAGAAAATAAAATGGTAGCGGAAGTTTTGAAACGTCGCATGGCGCTTGTGATACTTAAACCGGAAGGTGACGAAATCAGAAGTATTTAATTGCTTGGGCAGATAATATATTGATATCTTCTCTTAGACTGAAATTCTAAGGGTGCTAATTTTTTACAACACGGAAATAAACCGACAAAACAATGGTCCACGCTTATAGGCTCACCATTTATAGCAATGTAAAAAATATATATCGACGGTGTAAATCGGCAATCACGTAACTCGTTTGCGGTGCCTGAAAATCTTCGCCTCTATGTTAATTTTTTAAAGGAGAACAAACTGACATCATTCCTTATAATTTTTGCAGAATTTTTCTCGCACAAAGAAGAAAATTCACGGCAGTTTTAAAGAATTGCCGTTGAGTAGTTTTCCGTTTAAAAAGTAAAGTATGACAGGAAGTCTGCGACGTCGCAAACCGAGTTATGTGATTGCCGACTTACACCGTCGATATGCATTTCAAGCCAACTGATCGACTGCACTGCGTTTGGCGCAATGCAATAAGTATTAACGCAGTCATGTAGGCTTTATGCACGAATGTTTCGCCTTCAGTTGACGAGGTATACCACACGCGCTCCTACGAGTTCGAATGGTGGTATCACTCCACCTCTGATGCGTTTGGCGCAATGCGAGAAGTATTCATGTAGTCTTGTAGGCGCTAATATGGGCTTTACGCCGACCGCAGTGTTTGGCGCAATGCGTGAAGTATTCCGAAAGTCTTGCAGGCACTAATATACGTTTAACGCCGGCCGCACTGTGTTTGGCGCGATCATTCGAACCCGCAAACAAGCAAGTCGCAACACACGCATCTCGATTTGCGACGTTGACAATGTTTTGTCACAAACAATTGCATTCAAAGGAAGACGGACGAACATTATTCTTTGGAAATTTTATCTGATTTTACTATAAATGACTTGCGAATTCCAACAAGGACGTGGGGCTCCCCTAACGAAATCCTTTGTAAAGCAACGTCTATGAATACGGTCCTTATTGAGCTTACCGCACTTGGCAAACTACTGTTGTCGGACGATTCGGACGTTATGAACGACGTCGACGCGTGACGTTACAGAACGTCGCGACGCGCCGCACAGTGGATCGAGACAATCAGAGATCTCGGACATGTAATTTTTGACTAAAACTGCACATTTTGATGATTATTCCGCCACATTTTAAAGTTCTAGGATTATTTTCGGAGGGAAATTTCATGAGGAAACCAATGGAACCACTCTTGGAACCTCAAAATTTCGCATAAACTGAGATATAAGCGTTTAATGTTTCCAAAATTTGTCCAAGCTCTCCTATTGACTCGATCCTTTGTGCGGCGGGAGCTAAGCCTGCGCCTCCGCTGTCGCTCCACCTGCCACGTCCACCCCCCTTTTCTGCCGCGCCAAGGAAAAACGCTGTATACACATTTTAATGTTGCCAAATTTCTCCCTGATAAAAAAATATTTTAAAAGAAAGATAGGCATATTTTTATCATAAATTTTAAGAATTTTAAATTGAATTACGAGCAAAATTACGTGTAAAATCGGAAGAAAAATGTTTAAAAATGTCTCAATGAATTCGTGTTTTATCGAGGGAAATTTGGCAACGCCCGATGGTTCATACGGCGTTTATCCTTAGGGCGGGAGTCTTCCTGTCTAACTCAATTATTTCCATGAGTTCCATCTCCCGGCGACAAGCATCAATCATTGCCCCAGACCGGGCACGCGCCTCGCTTCAGCCCGTATTAGACTCGTTTCGTCGCCCCTCCGACGTAAGGGCGTATCTCTCATTCGGGATGAGCCCCAGAAAGCATGGACTCATACGTGAAACAGGGCTCACGCGAAAATTGAGATTCGCCCTTACGTAAGAAGACCGACGATTTAGTGGCTGCTTCATTTGATATGTCGATATAAAATCGTTCCACCCTTAAAAAGCGCAGCGAGGTGATCGAAATTAAAACAGTAATAGGGGGGTTACACCCCCTGAACGTTACGCGGCTCAACCCCCCCTCCCCCAACTCTTCGCGCCCTCTAAAGTCCGTTTTGCAGACCTCTTGTGGGTTAATATAGAATACTAGGGGGCTACGCCCCCTGGCCGCTACGCGGCCCAACCCCCCTGAAGGCGCTCCGCGCCATCAATGGGCCGCTTCGCGGCCCTATTTTTACCCTCCTATCAGTGTTAGTTTTATTTATCCCCTAAAAAATTACGATATGAGGTATACTTTAATTTTAAACTTCACTTAAAAATACTTTAAAATTAAAAGGGCGCGTTTTGGAATGACTGATTGATAAAATAGTGCAGTAAAACAATGAACAATGATAGTCACGTAATAATTAAGTTACAATGAGTCGGGGATCGAACCCACATAGAAGTAAAGTGGACGCACTCGACGTCTTGGACGACTCGGCCACCGCTGATCGTGTTATCGTCGGCGCGAATCTTGTGTAAATAAGTGTAGAGCTGATGCGCAAGCTACACAGCTACTGCGCAACCTCTTCGACCACTGCGCATCCTCCCGCGCATAGCGGTAGCAGTCCCGGAGCATTCTGTAAATTTACTCACTTTTATAACGTGATTTTAAAAAAACCTGGGTCGTATTTCCAAAATCTAATTAAAGCGGGCTCATCTAGGGCCAATTACCTGACGATCTACGCAAAAATCATGAAAATCGGCCCGGTAGAACGCTCAAACGAACTATGACAAAAAGTATAAATTTACATTGTTTAAATGGGAGAATTCGCAACTTTACCACGTAATATAAAAAAACCTGGTTCATATTTTGAAAATCTGAAAAGAGTTGGCTAATCTAGAGACAATTGCCCGTCGATTGCCGCAAAAATCATGAAAATCGGTACGGTAGAAGGCTGGAACTAAGCGTTACCAGTTACGCAAAATTAGGAGGTCTCGGAGCTTATAGTATAGAATAGAATAGAAAATGGAAAAATGGACCACTAGACAAGGTACGGATTTCAGCATTCTGATACATGTTTCGTAACCGAAATTTCACGCAGGACACGATGTGCACAACTAAAATTACCGAAATCAACTCTTTATGAAGATATTCAATGATTCTTGATGCGTGAATTGAAACCACCCGCTAATGAAAACTCAATGCTATACGTGATTCACATCGCGCGCTAAACGTTATCATGACAGTCTGTGCGATATAAATATCTGGCAACCTCAATCTTGACGCTTTGGCTCAGCTACAGCAAATTGCTCATAGTTTGAACAACACATGGTGGGAAATGAACGTTTGCTCGATGGAGAGGCTCGCTGAAACCGTTGTCCTGAAACCGCAATCCTTTTGCGCATAGTTCCTTAGCAAAAATACGTCCAATTTCTGTATGAGCAGCAGAAAGCATAGATTTATATAGACGTATTTATGCCTAAAGGAACTATGTTTCATGCAAATCCTATGCACATAGTTCCTTTTAGCAGACATACGTCCATATATGAAGCAGGGCTCACATGGAAATTCAGTTACGGCCTTACGACTTGAGCCACGCGCTTTATTAGTGCTCCTTATTGCAAAATTAGTCTAATTAATGTTCAATTAATGCTCAGATGAAGCCATGTCTTGTAACTTAACCTCAAGACCTTTGCAAGAGCAACCCAAAACCCAAAACCCGAAAATCTTCCAACGATTCTCGATTGCCCGCGTAAAATGCGCATGTCAACCCTTTACTGCGCCGTCCTGAAGAACGCCGTATGAGCCTTCAGACGTTGCCAAATTCTCTTCAATAAAAACCGAATTCACTGGGGAAATTATAAATTTCTCTTGGAATTTTTCAGACGATATCGTCCGCGATTTGATTCAACACAAATAAAAATTTCAAGGAAAAGTATTAATTACTTTTCTTGAAAAAGGGAACAACTTAGGTAATCAGCCCGAAAGACTGACAAAAAACAACTTAAATCGGGACTAAGGCCGTAAATAATAATAATAATTATAATACATTTTGTTTTTATTTTTTAATGTTACTTTAAAATAACATTTACTTTTCATTCAAGCAAGATAGTATGTGTAACTGACTTTGGCCTGTGGCCCGTCAGTAATACTTATACCGGAATTGTTCCCTCTTCCGAGTTAAGCAAAAAAAAAAAAAAACCCATTATTTGCGGCCTTAGTCCCGATTTAAGCTGTTTTTCCCCTCACTGGAAAAAAACACATCGGATCTAGGATCCGAAAAACATGGAAAAACATCGACAAGAAAAAATACTCTTGATTCAATCAGATTTAAGCTTAAATCAAGAACCAAGGCTCTTAATTTGAGCGGATTTCCTTGATTTAAGCTTAAATCTGATTAAATCAAGAGTCCTTTTTCTTGTCAATGTTTTCAAGAGTCTGGATTCTAGATCCAATGTGTTTTTTTCCAGTGCTTAAAAATACATCCGGGGAAATTTGGCTACACCCTAGTGTTCATACGGCGTTTTTCCTTAGGATGGTAGTATGGAGATTGCCCGAAATTAGTCTAATTAAGTATCCGATTATGAAACGCAAGATTTGTCGGGGAAATTAACAAATCATTAGATGGATCGTCCCCGAGGAGAGAGTTCAAGTAGGTTAACTTAATCAAGATCGGCGGCGGAGTTGAGATGAAGGGCCCTCCCCCCGGCCCCTAGGAGGGACCCCCTCCTGCCCCTAAACGAGCCCCCCGCGGCGCCAGCCCGGATAGTCTATAAAAGTGCTTGTATACAACTCGGCCAACCCGGCAAGACTTCATGTAAAATAGTTTAGCCAATTACTCCTGCTCTGGCTCGGATGATTTAACGTTGTTAAAGATCGGTCAAAACACAATAGAATTAATATCCGGAAATGTTTCCTGCTCCTTCTTTCTCGCTCGCTGTCTCTCTCATTTTCCTGTCTCTCTCCTCTCACTTCCTTTTTTTCCTCCCTGGCTTTTCTCTCTCCCACTCGCTGGAATCATACGCCGCGGGTTTCGTTCAGTGGCGTCGCGTGCTTTGCGATACATCGATTGATTTGACATTTAAACCTATGGAAAAGGATCGATATGTAGGGTGTCCGCAGCGAAGACTTTCGAATCGATTCTTTACCGTAGCTTCAAATGGGGGTAATATCGATAGTAATCGATCATTCATGTCGAGAGCCTCAGTATAGAATCGTTCATTCCCCAAACGAAAAAACGTAACTACACTTCAATGTTGCGAAATTTTGAGGTACAGTTTTCGTAAATTTTTATTTTACGAGGAAATTGTAGTACATATCTACAGAGATTTTACTGAATTTTCATTCGATTATGGGCGGAAATGAGCTATATTTTAAGCAGAAATTTCAGTCAGATTTCTGTAAAAAATTGAATTTTTTAGTCTATTTTGCAACGTTTGAATGGCAATACTCTTCTTCGTTCGAAAAACGGCAAATTCCTAGGGATGGAGCAAAAAGAAACCAGTGCCATTGCAGTGTTTTCAAAATCGTGAAACTTCTTTTTTTTCTATTGAAAATATGCCGAGCATATGCTCAGGTTTGAAATCAACACAATCATATTTCCTTCAAAATCAAACATTTTTTTGTGGGAGGCAAAAAAATATTGCAATTCTGAGAGATTTTCTAGATAATTATAAAGAAACAAAATTTTCACAACACTGTCATCGCGCTGATTCATTTTTGCTAAATGCGATCCATACAATGTGGAGACCATTTTTTTATTTAAATCATAAATTAATGCTGTAAGATATTTTAAGAAGTTTATCGAATGCTATAATTTTATCTTCTTAAGGTAGAAAACCCTATCATTTAAGATGCTCCTGTTTCGTATCACAATCAGAGGATCCCAATTTCTGATTTGTACGAAAATTGTTCCATTTAACGGGAAAATGCGTTTCAAGCGATAACGCAGAAACTTGCATCGTTCTGTTCCTTCTTCCTTTTTATAACCAATATTTTTTTCTTTTTCCAGGTTATAGGTTACATAGTAGTTTTCACGACGTTTGCACTTCAACCTGTCGTTAAAAAGTTAGTGAAAAAACTTGAAGGGTTTTGGAGGTTATGCATAGTCGATGCTTATCTTATATTCTCCTTCACGGGGACGATCAACGTGTGGCGGGGCATATGGAACCTGCTCAGCGCTTATTTTATACCAAGTAAGTCAAGGAAATAACTAGTAAAATCAACAATATATGCTTATTTTTTGATGATTAAACACCTGCAACAATGGAGAATTGAACTGCGTTAAATAGAAAGGAACCGCAAGTCACATCAGCTACTGCCAACTTTAATTGGGCAATTTAATTTTTTACATGAAACGGTTGTGCGGATTTTTTAACACATTTTAGTGAATATTCCCCATAGTAGGAGACAAGATCCTTAAAACTTTCGAAGGAGTCCGAACAAACAATCTTCTGTAAAAAATTAAATTGCCCGCTTAAATTTGACAGTAGCTGATGTGGCTCGGTTCCTTTTTGCTTAACGCGGTCAAACTGTGCAAGGAAATGACTGAAGCACCATTTGTATGTGTTTAAAGTCCCGTTGAACTTTCATGAAAAGCATGATAGAATATTCACAACCCATCAACTGGACTAAAGTGATAACAAAATAATAATTCGGATTTTCGGTGGTGCGGATTTTCGTGCAAATTTTAGTGAAAATTCTCCATAGTTTGAGGAAAATTCCTTAAAAATTCCAAAAGAATCTGCACAAACGTTCTCTCGTAAAAAATTTAATTGCCAGTTAAATTTGGCAATAGCTGATGTGGCTTGGTTCCTTTCTGTTAATCTCGGTCCAATTAGTACACAACAAATTTATTGCTTCATCTGAGAGTGCTCCATGAGCTGAGTTCGCAGTATTTTTCATAATTTTTTTCTGACATTGGAAATTGGAGAAAATTAGATTTAAAAGTGAGAAAATGTGCCGCCTTATGACGTCATTCGACGGTATTTTCCATTTGAACACATGTGTTTTAGCAGATTAAGTTATTTTGTCATATTTCCGACAGTTATTGTCCAATTTAGAAACCAAAGACATCCGCGTACTCAGTTTTCCTAGCAAAATTATTTTAAAGACGAAATTTACAAAATTTCAAACATTTGCAAATTCACTATTTTTTTAATGAACATGACTCGAAAATTGCAAAACTTTCGATATGAACGATACGAGTCGTAGATGCACAATAATGCACATTACTTTATGCGAGAACAAGGCTTATTCACTGTCAGAAAAGTTGCATCCGTTGAAATTGAAGGCGCTTCCACCTGACATACATATTCGAAATCAAACTTGCTTTGATGCAGAACCTCACGGGAAATGATACGGTGGTACATGTATTATCAAAAAAATTGTTGTCTTTAATGTCTTTGAGAAACAAAAGTTTGTGCATTTTTGAATTTTTGTTTTATGGTCTGCCTGAAACATAATGTGTCTCATCATCTATACAAATATTTTGTCAGTGATTCAACGCTCTCGTGCAATTTTAAAATCAGGTTTTTAAATTCTTCTTTTTTTAAAAATTAATAATGAAATAAACGAAATTCTAAATGACTTAATCAAGTGCACTTCAAAAAGTTAATCATTTTAGCTGATTCGAGAAAAAGAGAAACAAAAGAAGAAAAAGAAGAAAAAATCAAGTTATCCTAGTGCTACGATAAGAACAACAAAATACTATAAAGTTCAAATTTTTCTCATCATTTAAAAAGGCAGGATACAGTTCAATACATGGATTGCATTTTGCGAAAAGGAACCAAGAGCACTCCACTGTCGCTAAGATTGTGCAACTTTCCTCACCCTGCAAATATAAACCGATCATCGATACAAGTTGTATCTTTACTCTCAATAAACTATGAATTCAAGACGAAAATCACCTTTGTAAATCTGATTTGTTTCATTATTTTAGTAATTTTATTGCAAAGCATGAATGTTGCACAATCCCAGGTACATTGGAATGCTCTTGGTTCCTTTTTGCAAAATGCAATCCATATATTCCCAGTTTTCTATGTTATAAAAAGTATGAAATTTATTTTCGCAGGTTCTCCAACAACGGCAGCTTGGGTTTGTCACGTTGGATGTTTCATTCTTTTAATTTTAATAAATTCCTCGAACTCTGTGCTGGTGCGAGGTGTCTACGTAGATGCTGAAGAGGAGGGATCAAAATGCGTCGACTTCCCGTGCTATTACCTCCGGCTTTTCTTTTTGGTAAGTAAATACACACAAATATTCAGTGAATAGAACCCTAATAAAAATAAATTATCATCTTAATAATCAAATGATCTTTAAAGGTGCGAGAATATCGTCAATGATTATCATAACAGTACTGCTGGGCTTTGCTCGAAATCCAAAGTGGAAAGCCACGTACCTCCAACATTTCAGACTTCCTGTCATACTTCATTATTTCCTTGAGAAACTAGTCAATATAATGAGCGTGTCGCGAACTTCAGCTTGATAAAAAAAAAGAGTTGATTCTCATTGAAAATGGCTAAAAGATCACGATGAGCGCACCAAAGAAGTTGAAGTACGCTTCTAATTTCACAACCTGAGCGAGAAGTATGCTGAATATGAACATTTCCTAACAGAAGTCGTTCCATCGAACCCTTGCGCACAAGGATGATACACAATATTCAAAATGGCTAACGCTTCCGCGCGCAAATCTTGAGGACGCAGCATGGTCTTCATTAACGTTAGGAAAATGTAAATAGAAACACGCCGGCGTGGCGCTGCGTGCTGCCAGCGCGGAATGTGCACTGGCGCCTACAAACCTAAGTGGATACTTCACGCATTGCGCAATGCTTGAAGTATCCACTTAGGTTTGAAGGCAGCAGTCGCGTCGCACACCGCCGCAGCGTGCGCCGGTTCGTCATATCCCGTTTCGTCACGGGTTTTTAGGCGAGCTGGCGTCGGCCATGTTGAATTTTGCGTAGCATCCTTATGCGCAAGGGTTGGATGAACGACTCCTCTTACGAAATGTTCACCAGGTGAAAGGGCATAGGTGAACTTCACCTATGCCGTAGTATCGGTTTTGAAGCGGGAAGCTTGAACAAAACGCATATCTCTTGCGCAGTGTATTTCAAACTCTTCCAATTCGCTCATCGTGATTTTTGAGCATCTTTTTATAAGAAGTAACTCTTATATATGCTCTGGCTGAAATTTGCGACGGCATTCTAAGAATACCGGCGGATAATATAGCGCCTTACAAGTCTGCAGGATACTTCATGCATTGCGCGTATACCAAGGTGAGCGCTCAAGTCGTTGAAAATCGTATATTCTTGGTGCCGAACATACCCCGGTTTACACAATTTCCGAACAGAGCACACCGAGAGCTTGCAATCCTAGGATCACACTGCCGTGCTATGGAGGAACGCCGTATGAACATTCGAGAGTTTCCAAATTTCCTTTGATGAAACATGTGTTTTCGACGACATTCATGTACATTTTTCTTTGAAGTTTTTAGATATTTAAGATTAAATCCCATGCAAAATTTTCTGAAAATTTTTGGAAAAAAATATTCAAAATTGATATGACAATACATTTGACAACGTCTAAAGCTTTGCTAAAAATCGTAAGCACAAATGAGTAGAAAATCTAATTCGTATGAATAGAATTTCAACTTATATAAGTAGAATTTAACTCATATGAGCAGAATTTCTCTATCCAGTTTTCGCCAACTCATATGACTAGAGATTCCAACTCACATGACCAGAGATTTCAACTCACATGAGTTCAGCGTTGAATCTACCGTGTCCGATATCTCAGAAACTAGTCTCCGCATCCAAAAAATCATAAAAAGAAAATGTTTTTATTTTTCAAATTTACTCACTACGTCGGTGTCACTTAGTTAGAAACACCACTTCTGAAAAATGAAAAAATTGAATTCATACGAGTAGAACTTTTCTGCTCTTATAAGTAGAATATTTTAGTGATATGAGTAGGATTTCTATTCATGTGAGTTGGCGAATGGAGATGTTGCATGTGTGAGAAATTTGCGATTTGACTATTGATTCTTAGGTAAAAGTTCGCGAGAAACAAGATGGTGCCACTGGTTTTCTCTGAAATCAATTCCCAAGCTCAAAAAAAGCTCTCAAGTTGAAGCCAAAATGGAGGGATATCCCACGCTATCCTGAGAGTCCACCTCTACATCAAGACAAACTCTCCATGCAAAGATAGGGAGCAAATACATTAGCAAGGTTGCCGTGTTTTCAGTTTTGGAGTCCCCGAATAAAGTGGCAGCCCTGTCAATATATATTTGCTCCCTATCTTTGCAAGGAGAGTTTGTCTTGATGTAGACGTGGACTCTCAGGATAGCGTGGGATATCCCCTCCATTTTGACCTCAACTTGAGAGCTTTTTTTGAGCTTGGGAGTTGATTTCAGAGAAAACCAGTGGCACCATCGTGTTTCTCGCGAACTTTACTATAAGAAGCAACAGTCAAATCGCAAATTCCTCACACATGCAACATCTCCATTGACCCAATGTGCGATGGTGATAGGTGGCAGGATTTTAAAGAAATAACATACGTATAAAGAATTGTGATTTAGTGATATTCACTTCGTAGTCCAACCTGAATGAAGCAGTTCAAATGTTAATCTATCTCATGTCAGTTCAGTCCACGTATAGCAAGCATTAGTGGCATGCAAGAATGTTTCGCCTTCAGTTGACGAGGTATACCACACGCGCTCCTACGAGTTCGAATAGTGGTATCACTCCAGCTTTGATGGGTTTGGCGCAATGCGGGAAGTATTCATGCAGTCTTGTAGGCGCTAACATAGTTTAACGTCGGTCGCAGATGGCGCGATTTTTCGAAGAATTACCGTTTCAAGGACCGTTTGTTGGTGTCCAGTCATGGAGCCCTTGGGAGCATGATTAATTCGTGTTCCACGTGAAATAAATTAAATTCAAATCCGCGTTCTTGACAAACGCCTGTAACAGCGCAACATTAATCAAGACCATCTTCAGCCTCTCTATTGAAGTATTGCCAAACTTAGGAACATCCCTCGTGCTTGCATGTGTGAGGAATTTACGATTTGACTGTCGATTCTTACGTAGAAGTTGGCGAGAAACACGTTGGTGCCACTGGTTTTCTCTGAAATCAACTCCGAAGCTCAAAAAAGCTCTCAAGTTGAGGCCAAAATGACCGGGGATATCCCACGCTATCCTGAGAGTCCACCTCTACATCAAGACCAACTCTCTATGCAAAGATAGGGAGCAAATACAGTAGCAGTCGCGCCGTGTTTTCAGTTTTCGAGTCCCCAAATAAAGTGGCAGCCCTGTCAATGTATTTGCCCCCTATCTTTGCATGGAGAGTTTGTCTTGATGTAGAGGTGAACTCTCAGGATAGCGTGGGATATCCCCTCCATTTTGGCCTCAACTTGAGAGCTTTTTTGAGCTTGAGAGTTTATTTCAGAGAAAACCAGTGGCACCAACGTACCAACGTGTTTCTCGCGAACTTTTACATAAGAATCAACAGTCAAATCGCAAATCCCTCACACATGCAGCATCTCCATTATGAATTGCCCACTCGTCATTTTTAGCAGGTATGCTCATACGGCGTTGTTTCTTGGCACGTCAGTGCTGCCTCTAGATAAATTATTATGATTTTCGATTTGATTTCTTTTTTTATTTCAGGCCAGGAGGAAAAAGCACCTATTGCGTCAGTTCCAGAAGAAACAAATCCACAGCTTAAAAAGGCGGAAGAGCGAGGTTGACGGTTACTCGGGGGCCACAGAGTCGTCAGCGCCTCAAAAAAGCAAAGTCGAGGAGCCACCAGTCTAGTCAATCTACATAGATATAACATAAAGAAATGTGCCTGCGACACTCAGCGCCTGCGCTATGTACGCGAGACAATCATTGGTTTCTGAATTTGTGTGTATTTGTGAACAAATTGGGGTCAGATTCTGTGAACCCTCGAACTCTGAGGTATTGTTACTGGTGGAGAATTTCTCAACCAGTGCTCTACATTGGAAAAAAACGCATTGAATCTAGACTCCAGACTCTTGAAAACTTTGACAAGAAAAAATACTCTTGATTCAATCAAAAGGAAATCCGCTTAAATTAAGAGGCTTGGTTCTTGATTTAAGCTAGATTCTGTTTGAATCGAGAGTACTTTTTCTTGTCGATGTTTTTAAGAGTCTCGACTCTAGATGCAATGTGTTTTTTTCCAGTGATTAAAACATCGATTGATGATTATTGAAATTGATGGACAAATTAAGCGATGGACAAAGGAAGAATGGACCAATCCTATTGGTGAAAATAGGTGGTCGTTATAAACTAGGGGGAAATGATGGACTAGCCATACGGTCTTTTCGTCGTCTCCCGGACGAAGGAACGTAACTCCATTCCAGGGTTGCCAAATTGACTTAATCAATTTATTCATTTTAATGAAATTCACTATTTAAATTTGCATCCAAAATTCCTCAGATTTTTGCATGAAATCCGAGGAAAAACTAGTGAAATTTCCAGTTAAGAATGCCCAAGAGTCTACTGGTTAATATGCAATTTGCAAGGTAAAATTTGGCTACATTGAAATAGAGTTACGTTCTTTTGTTGAGAAAAAGTGAGTTGTCGTCTGCATTTAGTCTATTCTACCGTGTTAAGGAAAAAGGCTATATGAGCTTTCAGACGTTGCCAAATTTTCTAAAAAAAATTACTAAATTCAGGAAAATTAGTGAATATTTTTCTTCCAATTTCTCAGATAATTTGGTTTGTAATTTAATCGAAAGTGTCTAAAAATTTCAAGGAAAAATATTCATAACTTTCCCAATACATTAGATTTTCCTAATTTCATTGGAGGAATTTGGCAACTCTCAAATATTTATACGGCGTTTTTCCTTAGCCAGCACGGCAGAATTATTAAAGTACACACGACTAATCCCGTAGAATTTTTGAAAAAAGAAAAGAAAAGAAAGGAAATGACTATTTGCTTAGAGGCGTAGAGATGTCAATTGATTTGTATTCGGTAGAATTGATTTCGCTGAGCTGCAGCTCAAACTGATCTTGAATTTTGAAAATTTAATTTAACTCTAAAAATAATCCTCTGGAACCATGATCTTGAATCGTGAAAAAAACATACTGTATATTTATTGAGCTCTGTAAAGATGAAATAATGTCTCAAAGAAGAGTCTACGTAAATACAATAGTTTTAGGCTATTGTTTTTTTTTTTTTTTTTTTTTTTTTTTTTTTTTTTTTTTGTTTTTTTTTTAAATTCTAATTTTAACTCTCTAAATTAATAAGACTGTGATTTTCTAAAATGGCTTTGTAAATTTTGAATTTTCGGAATTTTCTCGTTTTTCTTTAAAAAAAAAATTTGCAGCCATCTTTCTTTCCACAAAATTTTAAGGATTGACATATTTCGTTGAATAAATTCGATAGTTTGAAAAGCTTTGCCTTATAACCAAATAAAAAAGATAAGACTTAAGAACGTGGACGTGGGAGGACCCACGGACAATCAAAAATATTTGTAAATAAGTAATATACAATGAATTTAAGTAAGGAGCTTGCTAATTGTGATAATATTTTGTAAAGAAAGTGCCTTTTGACTCAGTTCATTCTCGGATCCCTTAATTGATTAAGTGAATACCTCTATAATGATCGAATTCCTTCCCTTTTCAAAAGTTAAGAATTCATATTTTTCATCTGATTTCATTCTGAAGGAAAAGGAGAGTAGAATTGTGCCATTTGCATTTAACTACATATCATGTGGAACCATTCTATGGAAACGTCTCCAAAAAATGAAACGGCAAAATAGCATGTAAGGGTGACTCTGTGATTGAAATGTATCTCGAAACGCTCTCCGCATTGTACATTTTCATTCCATATTTATAAATAATTTTACACGGATGAAAAGAGAAGTAACATTTTTGCGTATGTTATTACGGAAAAACTGTATAACATTTTGTCAATATGTTTGTCAATTTCTCTGAATGTTTTGAATTTAGACTCTTATATTTTTCTGTAAATACCTTGATATATTATTAAATTGAGACATTCATGGAATGCAAGTAGAATTTCCATCGTTTACAAGGTGTCGTTGAATATTTAAGTAATAGACACAATGTACATTCTTTTATTTTTGTAGGTGGTAATAATTTATTTACAAAAATTATTGTAACATATTTTGTTTTACAGTTGACATCATGAGGATAAATCTTCAAATTGTAAAAAGTAGTAGTAAGTTGAATTAGTCATCAATTAGGAAATTTGTAAGATACTAAAAACTAAATTTGTAAGAAAATTAAAGTAAACTGAAATAAAGACATGAGAAAAGGACAGTTAAAACTTAATTTTCATGTAGAACCTTGAACCCTCTGTCACGATAATGTTACATTTCAAAGTGAACATGATGGAAATCATTGTTTTTATGCATGTCTAGAGCAGGTGAGTGTAGGTTCTGGGGGAGGGAATATCCTTAAAAAGAAACACATGGAAATGAGAATTTGCGAATACAATTTTAAAATAATTCTATTTATCTTTATTAGACGGTGAAATCATGTTATTGGGATACTTCCTTCATCCTATAGTAGCAACTTCGAGAATTGGAAGAGATAGATGAACTGGACGAATTGAATGTTTTATGCCAGTGAATAAATCATTCTTGTAGATCTGGTTTATGGATTTTTTTTCCAAAAAAATGGAAATTTTAATGATACTTAGTATGAGCAGAATGTCCGACGGAAGGTAAAACTAATTTAAAGTTAATAATAAGAGCATTGGATAAATTTGTTTTGTATGTTTTTGTTTTTGCAACTTTGTTTAGCTTGAGAGGGTGATACATTTTTCAATGTTGAAAACAAAAAGGACAGGCTCCTATTTCAGAAACTTAATATTTTAGAAAATCGGTTTCAATACTGGGAATAGCTATCATGAGAGTTACAATGCATTTCAATTTCCATAAATGCTATTTTAATATGACAGCGGTTATGGAAATTAGATTTGGTTCATATGCTTGCAATCATCATTAATTGAACATAAGTCTTTTACGAACGAATACAGACAGTAAAACCTTAAAAAAAATCGATGAACATTCATTTGCGGCCCTATGATTGCTTATTCTCAACGTAAATATCAGCTCATGAATATTGACTAGAACATCTATGAAGAGAAACGTAAGTACAATATAATTAAAAAATGGTACAAAACTAAAAGAACAAAAAACAATAAATAGTCCATGGGATATAAAAACTTATGAGAATAGATTTGCCATAAGTTATAATTTTAGTGCAATGGAGGACGTAGGTGGAAAAATGGTGTAAGCATCTTCACGCCATTTTTTCGGAGAGTTATTCTTTTTTCCAACAATGGCGTGGCGTGAATTGCGATATATCGATTGTTGTGCAATTTAAACCAATGGTAAAGAATCGATTATTAAGGCGTTCACTGCGAACACCCTGTCTATCGATCTTTTTCCATAGGTTTAAATGGCCGATCAGTCGATACATCGCAAAGCACGCCACGCCACTGTTTTCCAAGCATGTCGATGGCCAAAGTGGGACCCATATAGCTCTGTTTGCGACGTTGCATATTTCCTGTCATACTTCATTCTCCTCTGGAAAATCAGTCGGTCTAATTCCTTGAAAACTTCTTTCCTTTTTATTTTCTGTCAGCAGAATATTCTGGTTTTTCAAGCTTTTTTCTGCATTCTGCATTTTCAGAATTTTAAGCTTTGGAGTTGGTTTGTCTCTTTGGAAAAATGAAATAAAATCAGAAAGTTTGGAATACCAAAACGGAGGTACATGGTGTTGCACTTTAACCATCGATATAATCGTAAGGTATTATACAAAATCATGTCCACGTATCAATTTTTGAGCGAGGTATGGGATTCTTTTTTTCAGGATAGGTAGGTTCTTCATAAGAGCACTTGAACGCAATCTCATTGCAGAGCCGTATTGCTTCTTATGCTGTTTTCCTACCTACGTCCTTATTTATATTCATAGTTCACAAGAAAGACACGCACACAATTTCATCACTAGGCAAATTAAAGCCTCGAGTGAACACGGAACGTGCGTTCAAACTTTGACACTTAGTGAAGGTTTCCATGAGAAAGATAGAGTAAAAGAAACAGAGGAAAAATTACAATGATTTTTACAGCACATGGTTCACTGTGAGGTCAGAAGCGGATACTGAACCCTCTGAATTCTTGTCGGGCAATGTATTCGAAGTTCATGAGGTCACATCTTTCTATTTGACTTCCGGGACTACCTGTTTTTGATAGCCAGGAAACCCTGAAAAATAAATGATTACGTTAGAATAAATCTGTGGATGATTGATTATCAGATTAATACTGCCGTGCTAAGGAAGAACGCCGTATGAGCCTTCAAACGTTGCAAAGTTCCCTCCGATAAAAACCGGATTTACTGAGAAAATTAAGGGTATTATTTTCCAAACTTTTCAGACAGTTTTATACGTAATTTTATCTAAAATATCTGAAAATTTCAAGGAAAACTGTTGTCAAAAATACATGTTTTATCGAGGAAAATTTGGCAACTCCCAAATGTTCATTCGGCGTTCTTCCTTAGTACGGCAGAATAGAAGTAGCGAGGCGGTTGAAGTAGTTTCCGCAAGTTTCAAATCTGAGAGACTACCCATAGACTTGAACCGAAAAAACGCCTTCAAATATTGCAGGTATGCAATATGTCACTCAGCCATTTTCCAGATCTGTGTTTGCATCCAACGTCCAGCGTGTACTTTCTATCAGAGAAACATGCTATCACCACGCTATAGATCAATTAAAACTTTTACTATAGGGACGGTAATATTGAATTTTGTATTTTCATACGCCATTAGATAATGATTAAATCATTACACTGGTGAACAATTCTCCGTTACTCTTGGTGCCATTAGACTAGAATTAGGACCTGAAAGAAAGAGCTGTGTTAGCTCAGTCAAAATTATAGTTTACATGTAGGAAAAAAACTCGAGTTAAGCAGTGATTGACCTATAAAAACCATAAAAGTCATGAGTGATTCAAAATATTGGACTTATGTTGTTGTATCAAAAGCAAATTCCGACTTGTTGAAATGCCTTTTAATTCGGCAATTTTTTCTTACGGATAACAGCTGTTACCTCATTATATTTTTTGTTTTTTTGTATTATTCTGTTTTCAGGACTTTTTTTCATAACACCTCAGACTTTAAATCAAGGGAATTGATTAAGTGATATTAAAAAGGCAGTTTCCAAGAATTTCTCCAAGAGTTTGGGAATCTGAAATTTTAGCTCTTCTCATTTTTGAATAGTGTATCGGATTATCAATAACGAAACTTACATTTCTTCGACTTTTGATTTCTCTCCTTGCATCTTGCCTACTATTGTTCCTCGTTTACTATTCTTAATCCAGCCTGCTAATCCAAGCTCTAGACATCTATCTCTGGCGTATTTTGTGAAATAAACTCCTGAAAATAAGAAAAAAGTAAAATGTTAACACAAATACAGCTTACTTGGGCTTTGTAGACTTACGCAAAACAACTCAATAAAAGCAGGCAGAATTTGGACGAAAGGAAGAAAACCTATCATACTCATTTTGACGGTGAAACTCCCAAACCATATATAGTTCTCGGCTTGCGACATTGCAGAATTTCTTTCAGGAATACTTTATTTTTAAACGGAGAGCCTATTCAACGTAAGTTCGTAAAGACTTCCATGAGTTTTTTCCCCCTTGCGAAATAAATTCTAAAAATCGCAGGGAATAATTTCGATTTCTTAAAAAAAAAAAAAAAAAAAAAAAAAAAAAAAAAAAAAAAAAAAAATAAAATGAAAAAATAACAACACACTAAAAATGTGGTCCAAACAGTATACATATAAGATGTTGGTAAAAATAGTACTGCCCATAATAATTTGCGGGGATAGCAAAGCCAAAAAAAAATCAAGACTTTCAATTTCACTCAAAAGCCAATTACTGGCTGAGCTGAACACTTTCCTCCCCTTAATTCTTTGCTGATACTCAATGGAGCTAAATTTTTTGACTGCCATTGAAATTTTTATATTTTTTGGCCTTGCTTTCCCCACAAAATGGTGTGGACCCAGTTTTTTGAAACCTCGTTTCTACTCCAAATTCAACCAGATGCTAGATACTACAGAATATGAAGGTTAGAAACGCAAACAATTTGCAGAAGTATTTTGCCCATTTTCTTTGACGTAAAGTGATATGCAGATGGACTACGTCATAAGTTACAATAAGAAGTGACTCAAAAGAATATGTTAGCCCGTGCCCGTGGCAATGTATGAAGGCACTGTTGGCAAGCGAGATTGATTCGGATCTAATTCCTCTGTGTCCACACATCTCAATTCTCAGTCACCGAGTCGTTTCAGCCAAGATGTCACTCCTAGATAGGCTTATGAATGGCACATCAGAGGGTGCCACCGTCAAAATGATACGCTTTCATTCACAACACTCCGAATAATGGAGATGTTGCATGTGTGAGGAATTTGCGATTTGACCATCGATTCTTACGTAAAAGTTCGCGAGAAACACGATGATGCTGCTGGTTTTCTCTGAAATCAACTTCCAAGCTCAAAAAAGCTCTCAATGTGAGGCCAAAATGGAGGGGATATCCCACGCTATCCTGAGAGTCCACATCTACATCAAGACGAACTCTCCATTGACAGGGCTGCCACTTTATTTGGAGACTCTAAAACTGAAAACTCTTTGCATGGAGAGTTCGTCTTGATGTAGAGGTGGACTCTCAGGATAGCGTGGAATATCCCCTTCATTTTGGCTTCAACTCGAGAGCTTTTTTTGAGCTTGGGAGTTGATGGGACTTATTGCGCTTGGAATGTGGTGAATTAATAACTCTGTAGCTGAAGGCATTGACTCTAAGAGTTTCCTTGCCAAAATGTCTTAAATACTAAATGGTGAAACCGAATAAATCAACTTATCGATAAATTATAATTATGTGTCCACGACATTAATTGGCGCGGCGTGACTAACGAGGCCACCTCATTATGATCGATGATCGATAATCGATAATCCCCCATTTAAAGCCGTGGCAAAGAATCGATAATTAAGGTGTTAATTACGAACACCCTGTTCATCGATCCTTTCTCATAGATTTCAATGGCAGGTCAATCGATATATCGCAAAGCAAAGCACGCCACGCCACTGGTTTGCACGTATTTTTCCTAAAATAAACCGAAGTAGGCAATAGAAGCCCGCCGCACGCTCGAAGCCGAAAACCCAGGACCTTAAAATCCAGCTCCATTCCCCCACTTAATTACTATTCGTCGAGACCTAATTACCAACGAATCTCTTCTATGGTGCAAAGATTTCCGGTTCGAATCGAAACTAGGAAACGAGCAAAAATGCGGCAAAAATTGTGTTAATAGTGGGGAAAAATGTGAATTTGGAGTGCGGCCAAGATGTCTTTCACCTAGTTAAACTCGGCGTTGTCATGTCTCAGGAAAATTAGCAGGGTCTATATTTTTTTCGTTGCAGCTAATTAATTGCGCCTAGAGTCCCTTTATACTGAGAGTTAAGACAACACCCCTTCATGGAGTCACAAACGGGAGTGAAGATTACACAGATTGAAAGTTTTTCATAATCTTTGATCGGCTCATTCTCAAATTCCTTTCTCTGTTCCTTCTCTCATTCCGTTTGCTCCTTGTCGAACCTGTAATTCCTCAGTCCATTATAGATTATAATATTTGCAGTTGGTGAAAATGTAATATTTATTCCCGTTTGAGACACTGTGGAGGCCTAAAACACGGTAACCAATCAGAAATGGATTTACATTGTCATAACTCTCATCAGTATAAAGGGACTCTAATTGCGCCTTGCTCCGAGGGAGGGAATGAATTCATGACTATCGAGTTGGTTGTGTAAAATGGAAGAGTTTTGCTAATAAATGCGCAGAAAATCGGCGTAGAGAATAGATTTTTTTCGCAGAAAAATATCTGATAATTTTGGTAAAATTATCAAAAAAGTTACCAAATTTTTACGTGAAAGGAGGGTCTAACTGTACGCGTGACGTTATTTTCAGGGGAGGAGAGGTTTAAAACTGTAAGATGGGTACGTCAGCATGGCACCCCAAAATGACCCGATTCGTGAACAGCCCCTAACCGTAAATAATTTGTTTCATTCACTGGGAACTAAAAGTATTGTCACATGGCAGACATTAAAATACTCCAAATGAGATAATGTGTGTCAAAAGAGAAGATTCTTAAACTATGTTGATAAGTCTGCTTGATGATTTCAACAGGCATGTTTTGCCCTCATTTTGCGCTGCGTATTTACTGCTCTTCCGTGTTAATATAGTGGTATCATTTGAAAATCAACATCTTAAAGAGGACGTTTGAAAATCCTTTCCGCGGGACTGATGCAGTCAACGTCATGCAAAGAGTTGATTTTGCACCATAAGAGCAAAGTTCTCACTGCAAAAAAAGTATTTCTGTTCCGTATGCAAAACACTCGAGTTGCTTGGGGGCAAATGAGAGAAATACTTTTTCGAGAACCTCACTCCTTGCTTTGTAAAAGTTATTTTTGGAAGTTAAATAATGATTGACAATCGAAGGGTTGAGTGATTGGACTAAACTTTGCAATCAGAAACTACGAATTCCGGCTCATTCGTAAAAGCTCTCGTGTGCATAGGAAAACGAATGATATATACGTTGTTTCTAAACTGAGCCACAAATTGTAGTTACTAATTGCAAAATGGAGTTTGCCAAAACCCGCTAGGAAAAATATTCACCCCGATAACAATTAGTCATCACTTGGCAAATTGTTTGCTAACAAATTGCTCATCATTCATCACTAGACGAGAAACAGTGTTGACCTTTGACCTTCAATTTTGTCTCATCAAACTAAATTGCCTACGATTCGATTTTCAATTTTGGGTCTCTATAATATCGATAGCTGGGGTGCGAAACCACATATCTCCATCACGGTGATTTAAAATGTTTACTCCCAGTTTATTTTGTTTAAAGAGAAAAAAGTCACCTTTAAAGCGAGAAATTCATGCAGAAAATCCTTTTAACAGCGAGGAAAAAACAAGGAAGTTTCCAAAGAATTACGTTGAATATAGTTTTCCTGAAAAAAATAAAGGATATCAGGAAGTCTGCAACGCCGCAAAACGGATAAACGTACCATTAACCTCAAATTTAAAAAAAAAAAAAAAAAAACTATTTTTTTATTTCAAAAATGTTTTGACACTGCCTGAAGTTTTCAACTTTTTTGGTCTTGTTATTCCCCGCAACGTAGTATAGACCCAGCACAATTTTACCACATTTCTACATGCGATTTGAGCCACGTTCTTTCATGATTTTGTCATGGGAACGGAGTTCCCCATGATATTAGAATCGTTCCGTTGCTTTCGCTATGGGATTCCCTATACCTCTGCGACCTTGAGCGTTTCGCCCAGTCTCCGATTTTTGGTTGATTTTCCGATGTATCAAAAACCGTTGTATTTTTTAGCCAATCATGTCTCTACCATAGAGTACATAGAGTCGTAATGTAATTGGGAGAGCTGGCGCCACTTTTAAGCATTTTCCATGTCCCGAATTCCGAGACTCCTGTGTGACGCCGGGTCACTTTTTCGATACATAATCGATTGTTTGCGATACACGGGTACCCGGCCATCCGATGACAACAACAACAACAACGAAGGAGATAGGAATCACCATGTATTCCACACCGCCATTTTGGATCGAAAATGTATCGAAAAAGTGACCCGAACTCGGCGCACACCGGGCTCGGAACTCGTCGAGCAGAACATGGCGCCAGCTCTCCCATTTACATTACGACTCTATGTACTCTATGGTCTCTACGTCAAGTTGTGTTGATTGCTAAAATTCGCTTTCAGCGAGTTTTTTTCCACTTTGAGATGTCGTGTCTGACTGGTAAATCTGCGCAGAACCACGAAGTTCCGTTTTTAGGCAAATTCTTTTTTTTGGGAGGTTCTGATTGGTTATTTTTCGCCATCAGTTTTCTGTTCGTTGGTGCAAAAGATCGCCTACCTCGGTGCTCTTGAGAAGCCGCCATTATCCCACCTCAAATTTGAAAAATAGAAGTAAAGAAATAATAACCATCGTACAAGGTGGAAAATTGTTCTGGAGGACTCGTTACGGATAAAGAAGTCAAAATCAGAGCTCGATTGATTGATTTAATTCATGGATACGCAAATATTGCCTTAGCTCAACTGCCGCGATCGGAATGCGTGCTGGGATGAACCTCGAGACGCATTAAAACAGTGCGAACCATGGCTCCTACAGCAATACAGCAATGCGCTTCATATCATCCCAAAAGCAGTCAAGGTCTCTTGTGATAAGTCCCGCCCATTGCCCGAGTCTTTTGTATGCTATTTTTACTCTCGCCCACGTGGATCCATTATAGCCTAGTTGACTAAACCGCCTCGTATTTTTGATTCGGTGCGGGCACCCGGCGATCGGGAGTTCGATACCC